CACAAGAATTTAATCATGAATTCAATAAATGGACAACATTTGGAAAGCAAAAAAGAATTATGGTAAATAATAAATGTGCTCCTACATTTCAAGACATATAATCATAAAGTCTGTATCAGCTGGGTAGGGCATAGTCCTAATAAAAGCTGTCTTGCTGAGCCTTTTTTCTCTTTTTAAGGCAGTTACCATCACATAATCCAAAACTAGTTAATGGTGATAGACTAGTCAGAGGCAAAGTAGATATAATTACCATAAGTAATAGCAAGGCCAGAATGGCAAGTGAGAGACTCTAACTTGAAGGATTTGTGGCAAAATCTAAATAGACCTTAGTTTTCTTAAGGGAAAGATACAGGGGCAGCCAAAGAGGGTGTGATTTTTCCTATACAACCAAATCAAGGGTGAGTGAGTGTCTTAGTTCAAGCTGCTATAACAAAAACATAAAAATAGTCTGAGTAGCTTAAACAACAAAAGTTTAAGTGGCTTAAATAAACAAATGTGTGGTTTTTGAGGAAGAGAAGTCTGCAATCAAGGCACCAGCAGATCTGGTGTGTTGTGAGGGGCCACTCCCCGGCTTATGCACAGCAGTCTTCTCCCTGTCCACTAACAGGCTGAGAGGGAGAGAGAGACAGGGAAAGAGAGAGGGAAAGCAAGCTCTCATGTGTCTCTTCTTATAAGAGCACTAAGCCCATCATGAGAACTTCACCCTCATTACCCAGTTATGTCCCAAAGGCCCCATCTACAAACACAATCACACTGGGGATTAAAATTTTTTTTTTTTGTGACCAGTAAGGGGATCACAACCCTTGGCTTGGTGTCACCCGAACCGCGCTCAGCCAGTGAGCGCACTGGCCATCCCTATATAGGATCCGAACCCTCATTCTCCTGAGTGAGCCACGAGGTTGGCCCCTGGGGATTAAATTTTAACATATGAATTAGGGGTGGAGGGTACACAAACCTTCAGACCATAGCAGTAAGTGAAAGCTCAGATCAGTTGCCATAAAGAAAATTATGATCCTTTACCAAGTTTCTATACCTAAAACAGTTCTCAGATTCAAAGCCACATAATCATGAGCTTCTATTCCAAACTTACACAATAAGGGATATTGGAGTTCCCCTCACAAAGTTATTTCTCACAAGTTATTTCATAGAGTATATAAAATAAATTTGTTGAAGATATTTAAAAAATAAAAGAGAAAGTTAAAACAAACAAGCAAACGAACATAAAACAGGAAAAACATGCATTCAAAAAAGACTAGTTGGACTTGAATAACCAAACAGAGGTCAATTCACTCATTGATTCTCTGCTTATCCCACCTGTAAAACGACAGTGGCAAAGAAAGAGGTAAATGATGAGACAAAGGGAAAAGAATTTTAGAATATGGATTACTGACATCATTCCAAGATTCAAAAAGCATTTTGGGGTACTAAATGATGATAAAATAACGTGTAAAAGTTAAACCATAAAACCAAGTAAGAAGCTAAACAAAACGTCTCTGGGTCTGTCTTATTGACTTGAGCGATCACATTTTTTTAAATGTCACTATATAAAAAAATTATTTTTCCAAAAACTATATGTTCTCACACTTCTAAGAAGAAGTAATTTCAATTAAAATTTAGTTACAGAGCAACTCTAGGTCCTAGATTTAAATGACTATCGAGGATCCTGCTTTTGTACATGGCCAAGTAGTTTCTAAAAGATCAGCACATCTATAAATACTAACTGTAATCTCTAGACAAAGTATGAATAACAACTACCTGATTGTACTGGGGAACAACCAAGAGCATATAGATAGAGAAGGAGAGTTGACACCTGGAAAAGGGAATAGCACTGAGTGTGTTTTACATTCTTGAAGTGTTTGGCCTGAGGGCAGGCCCCCAAGTGAAACACTTAACCTGTAATAGAAAACCTGCAGTCTTACTAACTTGAAGAGCCAGAGGACAAAGTTTGGGGAAACGTAAACCACTGGAAAGTTTGAGGGTAAATTTAGGAAAACAGAGACCCAGAGACAAGGAGCCCTAAATTCTGTGCAAAAACTCTGCCCAAATCTCTGGCCAACTCCTGACCCATTATATGTTTAGGGCAGAATCCAAGTAGCTAAATTTAAAACAAAAGAAAGTGAGCTGGAATTTGAGTTGCTGTCCAATGCAGGGAAGAGAGAGTTTGAAGCTTAAGTTAATCCAAGTAAACTGTCTCTCCAAAATAACTAATCAATACTCTTCAGAGAAATATAATAGAACTAAAATATCTACAACATATCATTCACAATGTCCAAGACAAAATTTACAATCTTAAGAGAAAGAGCAATGGAGATTATCCTTGAAAAGACTCAAATGTGAGAATTAGCAGACGAAGATTTTAAAAGATTTTAATTATGTTCAAATATCTATAGAAATATATGTGGCAATAAATAAAACATTAGGATATCTCAGCAGAGACATAAAAAAACTATTTTATAAAACAAATAGTAGTTCTAAAAATGAAAAATACAAAATTAGAAATAAAAAATTTATTGGATGAACTTAATTTAGCAGAATGAATAAAATTTAAAAAAAAGAGCCATTGAGTTATGATAGATAAATTGAAATCCTCCAGTTTAAGAACAGAGAGAAAAATTAAAAACAAATAAGCAGAGCTCTAGAAATCTGTATGACAATATAAAAAATTTATCACATGTATAGTTAGAGTTCCAGAGGGAGAGGAGAGAGAAAATTGGGTAGAAAAAATATGCGATAAAACAATGACCAAAGTTTTTCCAAATTTACTGAAAGACAGATTTATAGATTCAAGATTCTCAGATAGAAGAAATTACTACTGACTTTACAGAAATTAAAAATGATTATAAGTGAATACTATGAACAATTGTATGGCATAAATAGCCTAGATAAAATTGACAAACTCCAAGAAACACACAGACTACTGAAACTGACTCAAGAAGAAATACTAAATTTGAATAACAAGTAAAGACATTGAATTAGAGGAATTCCTACAAAGGAATCCCAGGTCCAGATGATTTTACTAGTGAATTTAACATTGAACATTTAGCATTAAACTTCCCCAAACTCT